GAGGGGGGCAAGGTAAAAAGCTCCCCTCCATAAAGAGTGGATGGGTGGGTTGCATGCAGAGTTAAGGTGAAGCGTACATTCTCCCGTAGACAGGGCAAAGCAAGCAATATACGTCTCAGCACCGATAAGAAATACTGCTCAAAGGTCTTCTCGTGAGGAATTGAAATGAATATGGGAAAAAATGTAGTTACTAGGGTCAGATAAATGATCGAAAGGTCACTTCACATTGCTTTGTCATCTTCAGCAAGATGAACAGAAGAAGCTGTAGGGCTTACGAAGAGGATCACCAAATTACTTTCTCGCAATCAAGCGGGGCAGATTGTGGATCGAGAAATATGGAGTTTAAAAATGCTCACAGAAGAATTTTCTAAAATCTATCACTCGAGAGAACATAAAAAAATGAGTGAGAAAAACGTAACGTGCTGATACAGCACCAATATTTTGTGAAAGTTTCCCAAAAATATGCTAGTAGGAAGAACTTTCCAAATCTCCTACTGTACTTCAAAGAACTTACCTGTTTAAAATTTCTACCTTGACTGTGTGTGGGTGGTCATTTGTTTTAAAAGTTTAGAACTGATCTTGCCTTTAAAGGAATTTCACTTCGATGTCCTGGTAGAGGTGTGCGTAATAGACTTACCTCCACGTGGTGCACCTTGGGCAACGTATACTCATACGACAAAAAAGTCTATTGATCGGCAGTTGACTTCTGACTCCAAACTCCTATGGCCCGACTATTTGTCATATTCGGCCCCTTTCACAGTACTCATCTCACCTTTTTATGCCTTTGTGTTTGTCCCCTTCTCTTTTACGTCTGTGAATCATTATTCTGTCCCCCATCTTGCTCTTTTACGTCTGTGAATCATTATTCTGTCCCCCTCTCGGTACGTCTGTGAATCATTATTCTGTCCCCCTCTCGACTTTTACCTCTGTGAATCATTATTCTGTCTCCCATCTCGACTTTTCGTCACTTTGATGTTCCTTCTCTTCTCCGTGAAGCCCCAAAGTCAGCTCCAGGGCTAATGATAACTATCAAAACGCCCGACATTTGAAATAAATAAATGTCCTGGTAGAGATCTCGATAAAGTTTACAGATTGATAAAATACTGTGGTTTACTTTAGATAAATAAGTTACATAATAAGAGTGAGGGTTTCGTCAACAATGTGAATAGGAACAACACTTAATATTACTAGAGGTGGTAAAGGAAAAATACGTACATACATGTGATCATGTCTTTGCCGTCCCACTCCTTGCAAACTGCTATAAGCAAGTTTCACTTTTTTACACAATACACTTTCGAAACATCAAAGTGTAGATGAATATGTCTAGAATTTGGCAAAAAAACAAGCAGGGACAGAGAGGTTTAAAATTCAATGAATAAAATCAACTGATGATATTGGTAAAATGATAGCATTATTTGCAATTCCAGGTGCTGATCATAACCGCAGCGCTCCGTAAGCAACAAAAATGGGCCAAATTTACATGAGTACATGATATCTTCCAAAAGCATTGCAATTCGTTATTATCTAATGATAAATTAAGCCAGCACCAATAATTTGGGTATTGTCAGGTGTATATTGTGTAAATGGTACGAATTATTCAAACTGAGTTTTCAGATGTGCATTCGACCAAATATGCTCAAAACCGTGTCGAGCTAATGCGTAATAGGCTAGCTTTTATTGCATTTGATTCTTGGCTGCTTTTCGAAAATAACGGACATTCACGTCGTATGCTTTTGAATGGCAGGTGTGGTTCGCTTAAGAGATGTTTCTATTCTACCAATGAGCTGACTTTCTTTGTTCACTGCCGTTTAAATTGCAGACTTCAACCGTGTTAATGATTCTGCATGTAGCATTGCCTTGACTAAAGCGTTTGATTAAAATTTGATGCTAAAATCTCCTTTAGTGGCAGTACTTCCAGTACATGACCTTGGACCAGTCTGCTCTAAGGCGAAGTCAAAGGAATGATCCAATCTCTGTGGCCATCCTACCACTTTTGGCTTGCTTTTGATTCCACTAAGGTTTATTGTCGGTACTTAGAGATAAAACATATGGTTGGAAGTGAAATTTTAATCGGTACTCAATGCAGCTACCCGAGTCTACTACAAAGGAAATAGAAGTGTCACAGTTTGAGGGAATTGATTGTAAGTCAAAAAAATGCAATATCCAAGATACGAATTCCATTTACAAAACCGAAAACACTCGTAAAATAATCAAAAGGAAGTTTGCTTACATAGTTTAAATTTGCCCGTAGTTTTTTAAGAAAATTTTCCTTAAGTTGCAAATGGTCTTGCTTTATCCTTAAATAAGAACTTTGCGCTGAATTTTCACCGGTTTCATCTCTATTACCAAATTCAAATTAACAGAACTTTGAATTTCAAGGTTTCAACTTACTTAAGAGGTCGCTCCTAGTAATCTTGCCAAATCCACAGTCATTTCTCTCTCAAAAGCCTAAATTTTTCTAACCCACTTCGATTTCACCTTGCCCATGCTCACTTCTAGATTTGTTTGTCAAATCAATAGCCCTTTTGAACTTCTCATTCTATTTCTAACAGGTGAGAACTCGTACCCTCTTCTTTAATGGCTAATTATAAGTGACCCGCCAGTTCTTTTTGCTTCAAACAAACGAACAAATAATAATTTACGCCAGTTTATTTGCATTACCACTTGAGTTTCTCCGATACTAAGAACCTGGAATGAACGGAAAGGAAACAAGCCATGAAGGAGACAACCATTTACTTACTAAATACAAAATACTAGAAGACGAACGGCATTAGTGGATTAGGCTATTTACAAAAAAAGAGGTCGAGCGTCTTTAGTCCTCCAGCGTCACCTTGCAGTCTAACAGGTCCTGAAGTTGAGAATTTATTTCACGGATTTGTTTCTCCAGAACCAGAAGCTAAAATAGGGGGAAAAATACGTAAAATTGTGCATTTGAAGTTGTTAGAAGATAGCAAATGGCTAAGGAGGGCGGGGAGTACGTGGTCGACCCCTGCCTCAAAGCGGACTATCTATTCGTCCTAGTTGTATTTCCATATCTTCAACCATTGGCCCACAATCACCTTTGGGGTTAGCGTCCTTAGAAGCCATTTTTTTTCATTATAGACAAATAAGCCACATTTTAGGAATTGCTTCTATCTTATCCATCGTCAAGATAGTAGACGCTGGATTGGGTAATAGCTTCCAAGGATCTCCTTTACTATTTACTCACCGAACAAAAAATACGTTAATACGAGATTGAGTCAAAAATATCACAGACAAATACTATTATTTATTTGACAAGTGATCTCATTAACTTTTCTACTTAGTCTCCATTGGTGTCTATATACTTTATTAATCTCTAAAACTGCAAATTTCCTCGTGTAGAATTTCGAGAGCTGTCTCTGGCACCATGAAATTACATGATTTTCGCTTTCTTTTGATTGAACTTCCTTTTATGGATTAAATCGGTAAATCAAGAATTCACCTCCGGTAACAATGCGCTTAAAAGTTATTCTCATTTGGTTTTATATTTGCCAAAGTTGCTAAGGTTCAGTTCTTTGAATCAGTATTTGTTCCTGCAAAGCTTTTGGAACCCATGTGCCACTGATGGCTTACTCAGGCCAAGATTTTCAGTGAGAATTGAAATGTGGATCGGTATGCGATTTCTACATCGCTAATTTCCCCAATGGTGACTCGTTCATCATATTCAGAAGATGTGTTTTCTTGATTTTTTGCTGTGGTGGTCCACCCTCCTCCAGGTTTGTCCTTAAGCTTCACTCTTCCCTTTTCAAAGCGTTTAATCCAGTCATAAATGACTACTCCGTATGACACAGAGCCCCCATAAACCTGTTACGAAGCTTCAATGATCTGACCAGGTTTTCATTTTAGTTTAGCTCTGAACCAAAAAGTTGTCATTTTTAAGATTGAAAATCGTTATCTATTTTGAAATACAATCTGTCTTGATCCTAACCCTTCAAGGAGAATGATCGGACAGTTGTATGCTTGACAGCTTTTTACTTGTCTCTTGGAGATCGAGAATAAGACACTTTAGAAATCTTTTTTTATCGATCTCTATTAGAAAATGGACATTTAAGTTTATCTTGTTAGCAACTCTAAATAATAATAGAAGCGATTCACTGGGGGTAACTGAGCAATGGCATACAGAAGGATACCAGATATTTCCAGAAGCTACAAACACCAAAAGTTTCCTACCTTTGATGCTTCCGTCCGAGAAAAATTATTGCTGCCAACGCTAGAGTTAGGCTTCATCTGTTTCTTTTCACGCAGCACATCAGCCTTTTTATTCAATTTTGTCAGACGACCTCGAAGTGTATCTTCTGCTGCTTCAAAATCCACGCCCTAAAAGCCATTAAAAAGTTGATTATTTAGCGATACCAACTAACTAGTACCTGAACCAATAGAAAGAAAAGGAGTGTAATTAGCACCAGCCGATGTCGCCATCGATTTAACTGTAAACAGCCACTTTAAAATAGGCCCCATTTACCTTATCGGTAAAGAACACGTATTTAAATACCAATCTGATATTTGTTTAATATTATTTGATTAGTACTGTATTCATGGGAAGATCCATTTACCTCAAACAAGCATGTAAGAACAGTAATCACGCGCACTAGTGTTTAGAGTGTTCTAGGGTTTCCATTCAAAGTGCCGTAATTGTCTGGTTATACTTCCAAACAAAAGGCAAACCAATCGATTGATATGCGATTTTCTAAATCTGAATCTGACGTATAGACGCTGATGAGCAACTAGCCAATGTGTTTCCAACCATCAATGAAATTTTCAAATGTGGTTATTCAAAAATGCAGAAAAGTTGATTCTAAGTATAGTAATCCCCTGACCAGGTTCATCACTGTTGTAAAACGACAAGAACTTGTCCTGACGTATTAGTGCTCGGGTCTTATGGTATTTTACCCACAGTTTCCAGTACGTTACTCCTAAAAACACCGTCTCTGTTGCTCCCAACTAGTGGCTGTCTCGCCATAATCTATGTACTCTTTCGTAATCTCAGATCTAGATGAATCACTGGACCCGAAGTAACCACTTGTAATACAGGATTAATCGAAAGCCAAAAGTAAAGATCGGAGGATACAATATCATAAACAGCTAGAAATAAATGAGTTAAACTTACTTTGGGTTCAAACGACAATGCGATACCAGCCTTACACGGAATCGTACAAAAGTCTTGATCTAGTTCCGCCTGGAGAGGTTTCAAACCAACGAGAGCCGCAGAAAGTTCCACAATTGCACCCTCTTCTCGTGGATGCTTGCAGGGAAGGGTGGTAACACCAACACGTCCATTGAAGTTCTTTCCAATACCCAACAGAACTCTCCATGATTTGAGCTTAGTCATTACATCAAGTACCTTCGTCACGAAATTAGATTGATCCGAAGTGAACTCTTTCTTTGGCTGCAAAAAAAACAGAAAATGCAGATAACTATCAACGGTCGTATTTTCGTACTTTAGGAAATTCCTGTAGAAGAATTGAGCGGTCATCTTTGGTAAGAGACTGCCACAGAACTTCAGATATATGAGGCATCAGGGGGTGTAGCAGGCGCAGTCCGAACATGAAGGATGCTATCAGGACGTCTAACTCCTTTGGTGATCCACTATCTGAAAGAATGAATTAAGCAAAACTAGCAACCAAACAGAAGGCTAAGCTAATTAAAAGGATCCATAGTAAAATCTCGGTCCTTTCAATCTCCAAGGTGGGCTATTTGTGATAAGAAGTAATACAACATAGTGCTTTCAGATTATTCAACTAAAACTCACTTGAACGAAGACGATGCTTGATCACTTCTAGATAAACTGAACACAGGTCTTCGATCCACCAAAGCCGAAAATCAGCAACACAGTTATGTAAGGCATCGTCTTCATTTCCTTCAGCACAAAGACCACCAAATGCATTGTTGAAGCGTTGAGCAATATTTGCAGCTTGCAGAAGGATCCATTCGTCTATAAGAGGCAGATCATTCGAAACCTAATCGTATGGAAGAAAGTACTAATCCATAAATCCTCAAACTCTGGTTAGATTAGGGCTTAGGAAATAATTTAAAAGTCTAACCTGAGAATCACTCAGTTCCTCCCAATACTTTTCAATTGAATGCTGCTTCATTTCTACAGACATACCAGTACGGTTCATTTCAGAGGTCAGAAAGCGGAGACTCTGCCATATCTAATAAAAGGCGAAATAAAACGAAGAGTATTAAAGAAAATGATAATTTACTTCGATTATTGAATAGTATTTATAAATATCTTTCCCTTTGTTAAATTAATCAATAATTGTGCATTAACTCACAACCAACTTAAAAAAACAAGATAGCTATTAATTTATTTGACATCGATCGATATGTAAAAGTAAAAGGAGGCGGAAGTAACCTTGTTTCCAAAGCGTCGGAAATCGAGAGTTGCTTCTTCCGTGAAAACAATTGCGGGATGAGTAAAATCAGTGGCAAGGAGAGAGGCTCGAAGAGCATCCGCTCCGAGAGTCTGAATTCCTCCATCACCACCACCACCACCAGTTTGATGCTAATGGGAAAATGAAATTGGAATCTCCAGCAACCAGGAAACAATAGTTAATCTCTTCTTTGCAATAAGTAATATAAGAACAAAATAATTGAAAAAAAACTGTTTAATTTCAGGCCACATTAATTACTCATAGGCACAGGACAAAGGTTGTCAAAATTTAAACATAAATAAGAAAAACCTACCGGTTTGAGATTTCCCACACCATCTATGAGATTGAGTGGATCGATGGTATTACCCTTACTTTTCGACATCTTTTGACCATTGGAGTCACAAATTAGTCCATGCAAGAGAATCTTAAATAAAAGTGAAATTTACATTTAATTGGTGTTTCCATTAGACTAAGCAATGGGGGGACGCAGTAGTCGAATTCACTATGGGAGGACGAACATTTGCTTAAGAATATGCGATAAAAGGATGCTGGAATACTCCTGTAATAGAATGGGTTGATGTAAGCAGATAAGAAGCACACAGATTCAGGTCTTTGCTAAAAAGGCATACTAGATAAATCGAAAATTCGGAAAGGTAGTGAAATTTGCGCGAAAAATCGATGACGAGCACGGACAGCAATTATCGTCAGCAGTAGACTAAAAATAAAATTACGTGTTTGAATGGCATTCGGCCTGTGAGATGGACTCCAAGCATGGCCATTCGAGCAACCCAAAAGAAGAGAATATCTTGTCCAGTCTCCATCAAATCAACTGGATAACTTCGACTCAATTCTGAACTCTACGGATAAAGAAGATCATCAGCACATATACACACATATATCGCTTTCTAATGAAAGAAGCATAACCTCTTTAGGCCAACCATAGGCAGTCAAAGGAAGAAGGCTCGAACTGAACCACGTATCTAAGACATCCGTGTCTACAAAAGTAGGATACAACTTATTAGACCAATAATGGAAATACATTGCTGAAATTAACTCCATATAATTACCTTGTTCAAGTTCAGCTGGAACTTCATTGATATCGCAGTTGCACCGTTTCGCGATCAATCTTCGCGCCTCTTTAAAGTCACGAGCAATCACCCAATCAGATGAGGTGATGTACTGAAAGAAACAGAAAATATAGCTGAATGATCAAATAAAGAATTTCTAATCAGCAAATATAAAATGACAATAAGGTAATCTCACTGATTTTGAATCGCAGCGTTCTAAGGGTTGCAGGAAATTTGGAATTCGATAGGCCGGCATTCGGTGGCCCCACCAAACTTGTCGACTGATGCACCAGTCACGACGCCGTTCAGGAGACAACCAGTCACGCCAAGTTGGTTCGTGGAAGCAGGGTGTGATTCGAAGTTCTCCAGTTTCATTGGCCTGTAATTAAAGTGAGACCAGAGGAGTTAAAGGTGACTGAACAACTCCAAACCCTCTTCGACCCATCCAATTCTTGGTTATAATTAGTCCACTTAATAATTTGTGCTACAAGTCAATTCACAATGAAAATAGAAAAGTTAAGCAGCCTTAAAACTCGATATTCGAAGAGAACCTTTATTTCAAGTCATAAACTTTTTGATTAAACTTGCTTTTAACGCTGCAGACGCCATTTCCGAAGTATTAATGAACCATTGTTCGCGAAAAAGGGGTTCGACAATATCTCCAGACCGAGAACAGAGAGGTAGATTCATTGGACAAACAGTTGAAAGAAATTCAGTTGACTCTCCGATACGATATCGTCCGCGATAGAGACCAAATTCGGACAGTCGTTGAGCTATTTTGGATCGAGCTATGAAGCGTGGAAGGCCACCGAATTCTTCACAAACAGAGGGGAGAATGCTGCCACTGTCAGAGAAAATATTCAGGACCTCCAGACGTTTTCCACCCCGAGCTATTTCGAAATCAATAGCACTGTGGCCGGGACTGACCTTAACCACACCTAAAGAGTACACATCCATTAAAATTGATTGAATTGGAGGAGTAAACACTCAAATTCGGAGATTTAGTTCCCATTTTTTTAAAATACTATTGAAGTTAAGGTGCTTATTCATTATTATAACTCACGACAAAATAAAATCGTGCTTGTTTGAATTTAGTCAAAATTAAGCCCAATGAGTGGGAAAGGGGCTCGAAAACACGTTGAGAGTAAAGCCAGGGTTCCAGAGCTTTGTTCCATTTTCTTGCATTCAATCGGGTTCCAAAATTCAAACTTCACGAAGCTCCACAAATCCTTTCTTTACAATGCCCAGCGGCAATTGAGCAATTAAGGAGGTAGGCCATAAAGCTTAAATTCCTTTCAACTTCCCAAGTTTAGAAAAACGGGGCGTTCTTCTATGATTTTACAATACCAGTTATCCAATAAATTAACCTGAAAAGAATTCCCCATAAAATACAGTAAATTGGAATTAACTTGCAAAATGAGATTAATGTGATAGTCAAGACACCGAATGAGCATAGAAAAGGAATATTAAAAAAGATGTGTGGACTAATGGTAAAATATAATTGCATTCGTATTTAATTTTTAAACTAACCAGACAGCTTTAAACCCTTACACTAAAAAGCGTTGTCATTTCGCCTTAGATAAGTCTGCAAGAGAAGGAAATCGAAGGAAACTGGAAAAGCCCATCCATCTTGAAATATATTATCTATTCTTGAGGAGGCAATCTCACCACATATGCAAATAACCCCCCCCC